ACAGAATGCTGCTTTCAATGTGTGCCAGACTACAAACCAGTCTGTGAGGGCCTTGCCTTGTCTGTCCCGCGATGGCCCCGTAAGAGCTACACTTTGCTCCTGCCCCTTTAGGCCTCTCTGTACATCTCACATGCCTTCCTCCTTCATGCATCACTCCTGTCCTTGGCCTGACTCTAGCCACTTCTGTACCTTCAGCCACTTCTCTGTCCTTGTGCACGATGAGAATTGACGACATGAGCTGCAAGTGCTTCAGTGCAAATGCCCTCCAGTGTTGAAACTTAAGAGGCCGAGCATACTAGTTTTGTTGTGACTAAGAGATTTCCTGGGACATGGGACTTTCAGTGTTAAACTGAAAAATTCCAGGCAAACAGGGACAAATGAGTCACTCTAGTGATGGTGGATCCACAGAGACTATCTTCCCCCAAGTTGACGGTGCTCTATTAATAATCCACAGAAAGGTCAACCAAAATCAAGTTATGAATCGAGCTATACGTATCTCCATCCCCTTCACAAGAATATCACAAGATGCATTATCAAACATCTGAAGGCATTTCCATCCTCTTCTAGTTTAGTGACTTCGCTGTTAGAAAGGCAGAGGCTTAGTTACTGAAGTTGTTCTTAATCTACCTGCAGAGGCTTAGTTACTGAAGTTGTTCTTAATCTGCCTACTGTGGCTCCTCTCTGTGCTTTCTATAAATATTAGTTCTCAACAGTCATATTTGGGTAAGGCAGGGGAGGAGATAGTAGAATCAAACTAAAAAAAAAAAATCTAGACCATGTGGAATCTATCTTCTATCTTTTCTCCATCAAGGTTAGATAAAACTCACCAAGAGCTCAAATATAGTCATGGTGCATTATTTATTTTAGTGTGTACAGAAAATGACCATCTTTGTTCTTTTACATAATGAATTGTTGTGGTAAATCCAGAAATTAGTGTAAAAAGAAAAGACAAGAGCTCTATGAATTATTTTAGAACAGTTTTTATTGTTGTTTGCTGCCGTAGAGTTGTTTCCTGACACTTGGTGACCTCACACACACTGGAGCTAAATGCTGTGTCTGTATGTCTGGTCCTATGCCATCCCCGTGATTGGTTGCAGATCAAACTGCAGTGGGATCTTATTGGCTGATTTTTCAAAGCGGATCACCAACATACATGCCCACTGATTGACGCCTGGTTGGTGCCTATGAGGTATATCATGGCACAGCACTATTTTATTGTCACCTGGAGCTAAACAAGCATTGCAGTGGGGAGGAAGTAGACTGAAGAAAATCATAATGCTCCATGTCTCAGTTAAGCAATATAGAGATGCTACCTTTTGCCTGTCTGCTCCTAAAGTCAGGCATATATCATTTATAACTGTCCAAATATGTCTGACTTTGTTAAGTGTCATCAATTGACTTTGACTTATAAAGATCCTATATACACAGAAAGGTACTCTGATCCAGCACCATCCTCATCTCTGTTAAGTCCATTGTTACAGCCAGTGTCAAACTATCCAGTTGAGAATCTCCCCTCACCCCCCAAAATTCTAGCCCGGTATTCTTCTCCAGGGATTGGTCACTCGTGACAACATGCCCCAAATCTGAGACAAAGTCTACCATCCTTACTGCTAAGGAGCACCCAGCCTGCATTTTTTTCCAAGACAGGTTTATTTATTCTTCTGGAAATTCATGTGATATTCAGTAGTCTCTGCCAACACTACAGTTTAGGGACATCGATTCCACTGCCATAGAGTCTGTTCTCACTCAAAGCATCCACTGAGTTTCTGAGGTGGTGAATCATTTGAGGACACTGCCCATCTTTCTCCTTTGGAGATGGATTTGAACTCCAAACCTTTCAATTAGCAGCCCAACACGAGTTTCAGAAGTGTCAGAAAAATGGTAAAATACTTCTATCTATGGTGCTATTATCTAGAAGTTAGCTCAGTATTGGGCATCTATGAACAATGATGTGATGAGTTGAAAAATGGCTCCCAGTTATGCCACACCCTAATCTTTTGGTCCTGTGAATTCTACCTTCTATGGCCAAAAAAGACTTTGCAGAGATGATGAAAGATCTTGAGAGGGAGAAAATACTCTGGATTACCCAGGTGGGCCCTAAAGGTGATCATATGTATTTTAATAGCAGGGAGGCAGAGTTATGACTACAGAACAAAAGGTAAGGCCACCATAGACATGGTTTGATTGGAATGATGCAGCCACAAGTCAAAGTGAAGAGTGGATTCTCCCCTGGACCCACTACAGGGAAAGTGATTGTGTCAACTTTTGCACTGGAATAATTGTGCTTAAAATGCCATCACTAACAAATATTTTCATGGAAATGGGTGGTTCTGGGCTCTTTGACATAAAGTCATTGAGCACAGTCTGACTTGTCCAACTCTTCATCCATCATGAATTTTCATATAAAGTAACTGAAAGACTGTAAATTTTATGTAATTCTTTCACAGCGAACAGTAACAACACTATTCTTTTCTGCCTCTCTCCCAGAGTCCTTGTTTATGTCGTTGTGTTCAGGGCTGATGGCATTACTAGACCTAGTCACAGTTTATCTTTTGACGTAGAACAGATTAAAATTCTCCTTCCACTTATATTTATGACACCCAAACAGTTTTTAAAGTTGTTTTTTACATTTCTCTATTATTTTTCCTTTTTCCAAAACTCATGATTTCTGAGGCACTCAGACCTATCTCATTGTGACTCCGTGTGTTACAGTAATTGCACTGCTAATAGTGTTTTCAATGGTTGGCTTTTCGAAAGTAAATCACTAGGAATTTTTTTGTTTTAATATTCTTTGTTTACTAATTTAAATATTTTCTTTAACAAAATAGATCTAAACTATTATGATTTAAATATTAATCAATGTTCACACATGCTTCCAGGTGGAGTTGAACCTCTGTCATCACCATAAATCAGATTGAATCATATTGGATTCAAGAAGGATTAGATTTGAGACCTGTCGAGCACTGGGGACTCTGACTGGCAACCTAGCTGATCAATAGTGAATGCAGCTGGTGATCGGGAAACAAGACACAAATACAGATACTAAAAACATATAAAAGCTCAAACACAAAATATCATCTGTGATTATTACCATTTTGCAAGGGAGAAAACAGGTTCAGAGAGGTGAACTGACTTTCCTAACACAAATATTGATTCTAGGCCAAGCAAGCTCTCCATGACATACCTCACTGGGTTGATATTTCCCTTCTGGAACTAAATACATTTCCCCACCATTGTGATGATGCCACCCTCCTGCCATCAAACTTCGCATCCCTCTTCTAGTGTTTATTTTCTCTACTTAAGAAGTTATGATGTAAAGCAAACTGCTTGGCTTCGAATGCTGGTCTCACGACTTGTAAGCTGTATATTCATGTAGTTTTGTGCTGTCGAGATGAAACCAATTTATTGCTGACTCTCCGATGGATTTTCAGAGGCTGTCACACCAGAGAGGCCTGCCCATCTTTCTCCCACAGAACAGCTGGTGGATTTGAACCACATGCCTTTGGGTTGGCAGTGCAGCTCCTTACCACTAGGACACCAGAGCTCCCTGTTATTGAGAGTATATATACATATATTCCACCCCCTTCCTTACATAGCCCATAACAAGTACTTAGTAAATATTTTTCATACAAGAACACGTTTTTAATTCTTTGACAACAATTTGGCTTTGAGAGAGCTTACATATTGTCTCCCAATTACAGTCTCCCAAGCTTCCATTCTTCGAAGCAAGGATGGTGAAACGTCTTTGGGCCTATTATCGTGAGGGGCCAGTCTCTGAAGGAGGACGTCGTGTTTGGAAGGTCGGGGGAGAGGAAGGCCCTTAAGGAAATGGATCACCCCAGTGACTGTCACCATGGGCCCGAGCTTGGAAGACGGAGAGGGCAGTGCAGGGGCCAGCAGTTTCCTTCTTTCACACAGCCACTGAGTCAGAGCTGACTTGATAACCGCATAACAAGCCTAGTTACATCTCCTGTACCATTCCTGGACAGAAGGATATTCTACTTGGCAGGGAGCTAGCTAGCTAGGGTGAATAACTGCACTTCTGACACAACTAACTTCTGGAGGGACAGCTGGTATACAATACTGTAAAAAGTTTGAGCTGTGGAGCCTGGTTTTAGAATCCTATCACCATCCCCCTACTCTCTCCAATTGATTAAAAAATCTATAGTACTTTGATACAAAATTTGTCCAATTACAATGAGCTTCAGAAGCTAACTGGAGCTCATAGTCCAATGGTGAAAAAAGCATTCTAACTCATTAAGTCAGGGCGGTCTAGGCCATAGACTTGAGACAGAAGCCCCATTAACATTCTATTCATTCTATTTTGCGGGAAGAACATTACACCTCTGGGGGTTTTCTAGCTAAGATTAATAATTAACTCTCGCCCTTCATGTCAGGACTGACCCTTGCAAACATCTTGGGGAAATGATAATCAAAAGCCTTCCTGGGCTAGGACGTGTAAAGGAGATGCTGCTCTCTTCCAAGAAATGCTCAATTAAAAGCAATTTAGCAGCTGCATACATAATGAATCCTAAATATACAGAAGTCCTATACTAACATTATATAGGTTGGTTTACATAAGGACACGTAGTGATATAATCTTTTAAAAAATAGAAATGTTTATGAAAAGTGTTCTTTAAATAGTAAATTTTTCATATCAGATTTTATTAGTCCCACATTCAAGAAATGTATTTTTTCCCAAGGACAATTAGATTTTTGTGTAAAGATCTATAGACAACTGATTCGACTCCCCCAATCTCAAATGTACTGAGGGTCTTCAAACTGCCGTCGAGAGGAGGTTGTGTGTGTGACTCAGCACGGGGGGCTATGTCTTTGTCATTTTTTTGCAGGCTTGTGCATCCATCTTGCTTGATGGCAGAATACATTCCAAAGAACTCACACGCCCCAGAGGCAAACAGGGCAGTAAAAAAACCAAAACAACAACTAAAAAAGACATGAAAGACAGAATGTAGCTAAACCAACAAGAAACAGGAGTCAAGAAAAAGTAACAACAAAATGTATTTAAAAACATACTTCTCAAGTTGGCAATCTGAGCGACATAGCTCACAGTTAATGTTAACCTTCCGGATTGTGTTTCTTTTGTTCCTGGAGTCCTCTTGTGGCTTTAATTGAAACTCAGGCAGCAGCACCAGACAGTAAATCCCCGAAGGGCGAGGTATTATCAAACCTTCTGCTGGCCATTCTTTTCTGAATGCAAATGGGCAAGTTCTTACGCTTTCGTATTCATTTCCGGACGATCATTAGGAAAAAAAAATTAAGTCAAACTTGCTTATTGAAAATAAAACAACACACACACACAAATCCTGCAGATAATAAATATCGCCGATTCACTTATTTGAAACAAAGTCCAAATTTATTCGCTCTTAATAGCCTTGCAGTCCATTGTATACCTTCTGCACTGATCCTTGCTTAAGTAGTTGTTTGATACCTGAAAGGACAACGGATAAATGAATCCATTAAAAAAGCACACTGACTTCCTTGAAATTGAAAAAGCAATGCTAATGGGGAGCTTCATAAAAGGCCTGATGACACCCACAGATCGAACTAAACAAACCAATAGCAAATGCTCATCTCCAACCTCATCTCTTAGGGACAGTCCCACAGATGCACATGAAAAATCAGTATCATTCCTGTCTTTCTCTCTCAGGTAAACATCTTCCACCTACTCCCAGGAAGAAGAGGTAACCAAAAGGGAAAGACAGCTCTTCAGCTCGCTTTCATGCTGTTTCTTTGTCCCCTTTTCAGATTTTACCTCTTACAGCTCTAGCTGTACCATTTAAACTCAAACTAACTGCCAGTGAGTCAATTCCAACTCATAACAAGCCTCCATCAGTTTTCTGAGGTGACGTATCTTAATGGGAGGAGGCCACCCGGCTTTCTCCCTTGGAGCCACTGGTCGATCTGCACCATCAGAGCAGCTCGGCTAGTCAGCAGTGCAGTATGCTCTGTACTAGCCACGGGGCTACTTTTTATCTATTTAAGGCCAACCAATCAGGCCTTTTTCTCAATCAGTGAAGACAGGCTAAGCATCTAACAGTCCTAAAGCACCTCATGCCTCCTTCAACAATTGGTTGTTCTAATTTGTTCTAAGTCATTTTGTTTTACACCCATATACACACACAATCCCTAATTCCTGGGATTCTGAGAAAGTAGAACTCATTTCTACCTTAGTTCACACATGTAAATAGCTGATGCTATGGGAGAGTTTAATTTATATTGTTATCCCTCTTTAATCACTTTGTTCTCATGCACACAAAACCTAATTCCACCCGCTACCCCATCCCACCACACAAGCCCATTTCGCACCTTCTCTTGCTTCTTCTGTTAACTGTTCTTTTGGAAAATCCACATCAAATGTGATTATCAAAGAGCCCTTAATGTTGTTGTTGTCAAAGTTAGGGAGCCCTTCCCCTTTCTTCCATAGCTTGGCTCCTGGCCTGGTGATCTTATCCCGGGAAATATGTACCTGGAAGGCAAAAGGAACACAATTACACATCAGTGGAAAATGACTAAGGATGCGTGAAATACTATACAACACGGGCGACTCTGGAACAAGTTATGCTGCATGAATGGTAGTCTCTAAGGGACTATCATGCTATGAGACCACTATCATAAAAAGCAAAGGAAAGGTTTGCACATAGAATCATTCCTGGAAAGTTACCAGGGATGGGAAGTTAGGAAAAAGGGAGTGAAAAAAACCTCATAAATATGTAAGTTGGGTGAAGGGAAAGGCAATGTACCATTAAGAGGTTGATCTGACATTGTAATTAAACTATTGTAAACAATGTTATATAAATGTGTCAGAGTGAATGGATAAAATTGTTAATTACAATATTACAAGCTACACAAAGTTAGTGTTTATAGGAGGAAGGAGTGGCAAGGAGAACATCACTAGGACAATGCAAAGAGATTTCAAAACAGAAAAGGGAAATATACAGACAAGATAAAAAAGCAAGGCTCGTGCCAGTGGAGAATGCTAGGGTGGTCAATTGAAAGGTCTGTGGCACCATTGTTACTGGACATCTCGAGGTAGGAGGAGGAGAGAATGCAGACCAGAGACTGAAAAACGCATCCAGGTGGCTTTAAGTGATTGGAGAGTCTGACGTAATCTCAGAGTCATCCACTTTAAGGCTTTCAAGGAAAGGAAAAACGGGAAAACCCATTTTGTTTACCTTGTGACCATCCAAGTGAGTAATATCCATCTCAAATCCAACCAAGGACTCAACCAGTGAGATTGTCACATTTGTGTACAAATCATCTCCTCGCCTTTCAAATATCGGGTGCCTAAAAACAAAAAGAGGGAAGAACAACATAAGAAACTTCCACCTCCCCTGAGAACATTCAGAAAGCTTTTAAAAATCTTATACAAGGATGACCATTCTTCTTTCAAACGTAAGCATTTATTAGGCACTCCTTTGTGCACAGACCAGAAGCCAAAGTATGCAAGGGAAACACTAATATGAGTAACTGGATCAAGGCAGAGAGGGGACGAGGGCTTCTGGCAGTGGGCCCTGGGAAAGATTCCTGAAACGGGCTCCAATAGGCCCTAAATACACAGATAACCTGGGGCTGAGGGTGGGACTAGAGAGGAAGGTCTAACAAGACAAGGAGTTGAGAAGGTACCAGGTTTATTCAGGAAACAGCTAATGTTCCACTTTCTCTGGGAAGAAAGACCAGGTAGGTAAGGACCACTGGGGAAGAGACCACCAAGGTTTTAGAGTGTGATGAGGGACCAGTCTGAGCCAGTGAAGTGGGAATTCTAGACCAATGAATCTTTAGACACAAAGGTAACACTAGTTTCTGACATTTTAATGAGAGGGATAGTAAATAAGAAGCCTTTTTTTTCTGGTGAAATTCTTATCTAAGCAGCATTCAGTGCTGAAGGGCAGACCTGAGCTCGTTCTTTCTGCAGAGAAGCTGCTCATTATTAATACTGTTACCAGTAGAAGTTTGTTCTATGGAAAACTGTCCCATTTGAATGTGATACCATATTTCCTACGGAAAAGTCTCACCTCTCCTTCACTCTCTATCCTTGTCTGCTTCTCATTCAACTCCTCACTTGTCTATGGATGCTTGCTTTACAATACCTTTTGGATGCTATATCAATAAATACCTGAGGCTCAATTCCAGGCCCCAATCTAGTATTTTACGAATTATTTTACAAATTAACTCTCCAGTAGAGTTGTTGAGTCACAAAAAACTGTTTAGGGTACCAAGGACAACAGACAGGAGGAATCTGAAAATGCACTGACGGTTGTCAAGACCTCTGAACTCTGGTCTACCTAAGAAGCAGGTGCACCTAACACTGGCTTACTTACTTGACAACTCTGATTCGGAACCGTAAGTCTCCTGGTTCCCCGTCCACGTGAGGCTCACCTGGTCAGAACAGATGAGAGCATGCGGTCAGTCACACAAATCTATGCGGCATTTGAGAGGGAGTTTTTATAAACCACTACCAAGGGCGCTGGCTGTCAAATTTATATGTGAGAATAGGGTCTCCAGCCTGTTTGACCAAACTATAGATGATGCACGGAGGTCAACTGTGTCAAAGGTACAGCAGTAAATAACTACCTAGTTCCTCAACAAGAAATGACTCACTCATTTCCCGAATCTGAAGTCTTAAAGCCTATTTTCCCTTATTTGTCTAAGAGTTTTCAGTTGTCAATTTAATATCAATCCTGAGAGCACCTTATTAATGCCAACTAGAGCCACGTGTCTACTTTCATTGCTGAGTTAAATCAATCCTATTTAAAGTCTGAATGCCCTCAATCTTGATTTTACTTAGTTACTTTGACCGCTGGCCACAGAGTTGAAGGATAAACAGTAACACTACTTAAGGGAACCAATCTTGACAGATAAAGAAGGGTTTCTGCACCCTAAGACCAGTCTTAAAGTGTTGAAATTGTATGTGCATTTACTGTGTGACCATTAAGACATAGGGTGTGGCAGGGTGAGGAGTCAGGGTATTCATGAGTAGAAAGTTACATTAAAACAGCAGTATCAGTATTTCACCTTCTCCAATGAAGGGGTACTCCATGCCATCTCTCACTCCAGGCTCTATTTCCACTTCCAGTGTTCGTTCTTCATTCACTAGTCTGAGACAAAAAGAATTGAGAGAAATATAAAACTTAGGCTCCAGATCCATAATTAAAGCTCTTCCTATTCGATCAGAACTTTTTTCCTTAGATGACTTTGTCTTGTCAACTCAACAAAGCTATCGGATGTCCCTTTACTTTTTCTACATTCCCACATGCAAGACAGAGTAACTCTATGTTACAGAAACACCCAGGTGATGCCTCCACAAAAGCCTGTCTCGGGAGAATGACTCTGAACTGTGTAATCAGAAACAGATAAAACCACTCCCACACATAAAAGTGTACCTGGAGGGATAGACAGATGCTATTAGAAATCTACCGGAGGATTCTCATATCAGATGATTTTCCCTTTCCCCCATCTCATGGAAATCCACAGTTGACATACTCACTCTCTCTCTCTCTCTCACTCTCTCTCTCACTCTCTCACACACACACACACACACACACACACACACAGAGAGAGAGCTGGCAGTTCTGGATTCTGAAGACAAAGAAGAAAGCACTGCGTAGGTCTGTAGTTGGGGCACATGACACAGATCTGTTGATTCTGAATGCCAAGACATATATTAACATGTTGCCGTACACTTAAATTGACGACTGTGCTTAGAAACACATTTTTTTTTGCCATCATTTGCAGCAACGTATTAAATATCAGCATGGACAACTGTTTGCTCAACATTACATTTAACATGCTTTCCTGTACTCAGTGATTCTAGTAAACAGTTGTTTTTATAACATAATCCACAAATAACACAAATTTGAAATGTTGACTAAAATTGCTTTAACATTTCAAGAAGGAAGAAAACAATGTTAAGACTTGGTAGGTATATTCAGAACCAAAGGGTACTACCTATTAGTTCAGAAACACTACAGGAGACAGAAGAAATACTTTTCCTGGGAGGAAATTGCATTTCTTTGCTCGATCCTTTGGTAGAACATGAGGGAATGGGAAAAAGAAAAGAAAAAAAAAAACCTTTAAGTGTAGGCCATCAGTACTGTCCTAGTTAGATCAGACCCTTGAAGTGCCTCTGGTTGTGTAAAGGTGTTGACTTACTTGACATTGGGGCACTCGTCGCACACCACCTCCTGCGTCATCTGGAAGCGCCCAGGGCCCAGCTGCGTGGTTCTCATCTCCTGCCGGCAGTTGCATTTCCGTTTTCCCGGCGCCTGTCTCGCCACAGGTTTGTTTCGAACCACCTAGGAGGTGCACAGACACCAGCAGGACTGAACTTGGGCCTTGGAACACCAAGTCTATTCCCTCAAATAAAACAGGTTTTCGTTTCCTCAACCCATGAGGGCTGTTGCATGTGCCCAGATTAGAAAATTCTCTTTTTCTGGCAAGTTACCCCTCAGGGTGGCCTAAAGCAGCCAAAACTCCCTAAGCAATTACAGATCACTTTCCAAACAGGAATGAAGAAAAGGATACTTGAGCAACTCAGGTTCTAAGGATAGAGAAGGATAGAGACGAAAGAACATAATAAAAAACTGAAAACAATATGTATGTATCAGCATTTCTATGTCAAAAGTAAATCCTAATGAGTTAAAGTTTACAGAATTAACTTTGAAAGGAGATAGGAGCTGTCAAGTACAATCTCTGAACAATCCAATCCTTTCAAAGCTAGTATGTCACTCTGACCTAATCCTATGATTAACTTATTTTTTTTTTTTGAATGATTAACTTATTGAAATACCTCCTTGTTGCAGGAAACTCAGTCCAGGAATGTCTGTACTATCTCAATTCCGATTACGTGGACAATAACCCTCTCTCTGTACCTGACACACAATAAAATATTCTGATCTCTCCAAGTATGTGAAAATTACTATCTATCCAGCCTAGGAAATGCATATTTATTTTCACTTATTTATTTAGTCAAAGACCTAATCACAAGTCAAATGCACATGCAGCAGGATGACACAAATGATCAATGGAAAATCCCCTCAAAGTATACTAGCACATGGAAGTCCAGGCCAAAAGAACAAGTTACAAGAATAGTAACAACTAGTAAGTAATGCACTCTGTAGTATTGATTTGGCCAATGAGTACCCTAGGTACTTAGGGTTATTTAATCCTCACAAGTCTTATGAGGCAGGTACTGTGGGGATCTCTATTTTGCTGATGAGGTAAAAGAAGCAGAGAAAGGATAATTATGAAGAAATTAATGGCAGAGCCAAATTCTCATCCAGGCAATCTGGCTCCAAAGTCCATGCTCTAGCCACTGTGCAAGTGTTCATGGTTTTTTTCCTTTAAAGAAATGTAAAGTTTATTTTATATAACAAGGGCACTTGTAAGGTGTAATTTAAATATCAAAGCCACTCACACCCTTCACAATAATCAGATTAAATAGTCGTCTATTTGGGAAAATATTAGCGGTATAGTTAATATTAGTGATGGCAGAAGAGGAACAGAGGGGCGAATAAAGCTCACTTCTTTCTCCCATCTACGTAAGCTTTCTGGGTTTTAAGGCAAGAAGGCCTATGTTTCCAATGTCTCATTCTCCCATTTTGCAGATGGGACAACAGTATTACAAGCCAGTTACTTCACCTTTAATTGTTTAATCTTTCAATCATTTAGTGAAAACTCACAAGTAAGAAAACAATGTTTACTTCTTGTCAAGATGGCAAAAATATGGAGGCTGTCAACCACTGCCTCCAAAATAAATCCTAGGAAAATGACAAAGAAAACAAGGATTCCAGGAAATAGTTAACACAACATTTGTGAGAAAACATGGGAGATGGAAATCTGCCTTGGATTGGTGTGAGTCTGTAGGGCAATGGCTACAACTTGAGGCAACAGCACCCAGTGGAGGCAGTGAGAAGATGCTAGAACAAAAGTAGTTCACCTTCCACTGTGTCTTTCTCCTAGGTAACCTTGGGATGAGTACCGCCTGCCCTTCCGCAGAAGTCCAGACACAAAAAACAAGATAATTAACCAAAAACTGTAGTGAAAACGCTGGATGTGGCTGCTTCAGCCTGCTCCAGCAGGGACAGAGTTCCCATGAGGGAAGATGGCCAAACAAGGCCAACACCAAGGGGCCAAGTACTCAGTCCCAACAAAAACCAACACACTGGACAACCCATACAGCTTAAGTAACATTTGTCAGAGAAGATATACAAAGAAGTTAAAAGAAGCATGAGAATACTTAACGAGGGAAGAGGAGATAGCAGCAAAATAAAATAGATATTCAGAAATAACAGAATCAAGGAGAATATCATGTAGAAAAAGATTGAGTTGAAATAAAACCCAGGAAATCAGAGTATTATTAGCATGGCTATACTATTGTTGTGTACCGCTGAGTTGGAACCAATCCAAAGCTGACCCTCCAGCGGGTTTTCAGAGACAGTTAATTGCATAGGAGATTGTCCAGCCTTCTCCTGGTGGCATCGAATCACTTGCCTTCAAGATTGAAGCACAGCTTCTTGCCACTCGGCCACCATTACATAGGGTCCTATGCATTGGAGTCAACTTGCTGGAGCCTAAGACCACCACCACCACTACAGCTGAACACTGAACTAGTCAGAAGATGAGGATGTAGCCCCTCTGAGAAAGAAGCCAGAAGATTAAAGGAAGTGAGGGCAGGAAGAAGCAGAAGTCCCGTGAAGAGGATTCAGTGTCTGAAGAAATAATGTAATTAAAATTCCCAGAATTACAAAGAGATAAACAATAGGAAATTAAAAAATCTCAAAGTATTGGTAGAAAATATAGGTGAACAGCATTCTTTACGGTAGAAAAGAAATTCTTAAATAGACATCAAAATAAACCATCAAAGACTGGTAACTCTGACCAAATTAAAATCAAATCCATCTGTTCATTTAATGAAATCTATAATATAACAAAAGGGCAAGTTACAAATTGTTAAATATTTTTACAACATTCAGTCAACAAAGGAACAAACAACTCAATAGAAAAATGGGCAAAAAAACAGGTACAGGCATTTCACCCAAGAGGGGACACATATGTCTAAATGACACCTGAAGAGGCCCTTCTTCTACTTATTAATCAACAAAATGTAAATAATGGCCACAGTGAGGTTCTGTTTTATGAGCAAAAATGAAGAAATGTAATAATTCCAAGTTTTATTTAGAGAGGTAGTGATTCTGTAAAACTTTGGGGCAATCACTTTGGCAAACAATATGGTATTATCTTGTAAAATTGAACATTTGTTCATACTACCCTAAAACTCAACTCCTCAGGGGTATGCCCCTACCCAAAGGAAATTCTTGCTCAGGTGTACCTGGATTTATGCGCAAGACTGTCCACAGGGCCACTATTCAGAATTTAAAAAAGACAAAAAGGAAATATAACCTAAAAGCCTATTGAAAAATTGTGGTATACGTAATGAAATTGACTCCGCAGAATTTTAACTACGAACAATAGCATGGATGACTTGCTATTGATTGAATTATACCTCCTTCCCTCCCCCCCAATTTTTTTTAAAAAAAAGAAAAGGCTGCTAAACGCTCAGCAAAGAGAGGACCTCTGGGTGAGAGGGACGGATGCCATGACTGCTGCCCTGGACTTGAGCATGGCCGGGTTCCCATCCACTGTTCACGGGCTCTCTACAAGCCACTGAATCATGGCACCTAAGGACAACAAGCCTGTGGTTATAATCTCATTCAGAAACAGGCTGTCTTCGTTATGTTAATAAGGTGGAATTAGCGCAGGATGCTTTTTGTGGTTATTCTCTTTTGAGATATAAGGAAGGTGACACAATAAGCAGAAATGAGATGAGGGAAGTGAATCTACAACAAGATGTCAAAAAACGCAACCTGAAAGGAAACGAGCCCTTCCTTCAGGGCCCTTAGAAAAAGAAAATCTTTCCAAAGAGCTGGCACCTTGAATTCAGACATCCAGTTATTTAAACTATTAAAAAAATAAATAAGATTCTATGTGTTGAAGCCATCCACTTGTCGTCCATCTCTACTCCAGCAGCACTCAGTAGCTAAGACACTATGTTTAGCATAACATTTAGTTATTTAGTTAGCATAACAAAGTTCCAGAAGAGAGTGCATTCTATTTTCACAAAGTAAAAAAAAAAAAAAAAAACATATTACTTGGGTAAAACCAAATCCACAGCTGTAAAGTCAAGTTCGAGTCCTGTGTTTCCATGGCTGTACATCTTTACCAGAGAAGCTGCCCACCTTTCTACCCAGAGTGACTGACAGAGTCAAACTGCTGATTTTGGCTTTTTGTTGGGTTTTTTGTTTTGTTTTGCTTTCATTTGAAGGAGCACCTTTGTTAGGCACTCACCAATACATAATAAAAGAAACAAACAAACAAGAACAGCCCACCTTTCTCCTCAAGCTGGTGGCAGATTCGAAAGACTAGAGAGGTAAATGTAAACTTTGGGTTGTTAGCAGCACAACTCCCTACTGATTCCCCCACCAGAGCACCCCACAAACAAGAACAGCAAGGGAACAAAAATCACACAATTCAGCAGAGAAATTGTCAGCACCATGATAGATGGAGAAGAACACTCTTAGCACCAGCCGTCAGAAAATCAAAAGAACTGCATTGGGAAAATTGCTGTTAGGGATCTCTCCAGAGTACTGAAAAGCAATGACGGCAGTCTAGAGACTAAGGTACCCTAATCCAGGCATGGCCTTCACAATTACTTGCTATGCATCAGAGAGCTAGACAATGACTAAGGATGACAGAAGAAGAATCAACGCCTTCAAATTGTGGTGCTGGAGATACCATGGACTGCCAAGAAAACAAGAAATCTGTCTTGGTGAGGGTGAAACCAAGTCTCTCCTTGGAGGCTAGGATTTTGAAGCTCTGCCTCACATACTTTGGGCACAGAGCCAGGAGAGACCAATCCTTAGAGAAAGACATCATGCTCGGAAGGGTGGAAGGACAGCGCAGGAGAGCAAGACCCCGGATAAGATGGACTGATACAGTGACTAGGACAATGGAGATTGGTATGTCAGAATTAGGGAGACTGGTTCAGGAAAGGGCAAGCTTCAGAGTTGCTGTACAAAGGGTCGCTATGGGTCACAGATGACTCAAGGGCACATAACAAGAAGCCACCTTTGAAGAGAGAAAAGGAATTCTAATAGGGAAGGAGCATGCAGATAGATATATAAGCCCACAGAATTGTTCTGGAAGTCATTATGAATAGCTGAATTATTATTTCACTTACTTCCACAAAATTCCCAGCATATACTTCTTCCAAAGTGACTTCTAGATCTACAATAATATCACTTCCTCTTGGAATATTTCTGTCTTGCTGACGTGGCGCTCCGCCAAACATGAAACCAAAATCTCCGAAGAAGCTGTTGAATTAAGGAAAAAGTTTTCAGGAAAAGAAATAGGAATTCATGTCTCACAACTACCTAGTTTCCTTTATGATGCACAATTTTTAATAATACAATATCAATCATATTGCCATGTTATTGTTGTTATATGTTGAGTTTCTAGTGGCCACAGTGACCCTATGTACAATAGCCATATCCCTGCTCTATCCTGTGCCAATCTTATTGTCTTCAACACAAATACTCCCATTATCTTAGTCACTGAATCAATTCATCTCATCAAGGGTCTTTCTATTTTGCGCCCTTCCAAGCATGTCGTGCCTTTCCGAGGACTGATCCCGCCTTGCAACATGTCCAAAGTATGTCATACAGAGCCTCAGAATCCTTGCCTCCAAGGAGAAGCCTGGTTTCACCATCTCCAGGACAAACCTGTTTGTTCTCCTGGCAGTCCATGGTACAGTCAATACTCTTCTCCTGCACCACAGCTCAAAGGCATCAATTTTCTTTCTATCATCCCTATCATTTTGCCATATCCACACAAAAATTTCATTTTTTAATACAATATGGTCCTAAATATCTTTATGTGAACTATACTCAAGCAATGAAATAATAATCTATTCCAATATTGTACAAAATCTGAATTGATGGTTTTGAGAAAGGGAAGAGTATCTATAATACCACATAATTCTGAACTTTATAGTTAAATTAAGAGATTTTGAAAGATAATTTTGATCACAAGTTCCATACTCTTCAGAGGCTAACTCTGGTGAAAGAAGCATATTCTGTAAAACAATTCTGAGCACATAACTAAATAAGCTAAAAAAGAATCCACCTTAGTCAAGCTCTGGTCCTCAGGAAGAGGACGTTCTGGCATCTATAAGACCAGAATTAATTTCTGCAAATAAAAAAAATAATAGTAATATCAACCTTGACCTTCAATTCTAATCTTAGTGTTAATTCTTAGTGTTATTAAGAAGACTCCGATGGATATTAGCACAGTGATGACCTATATACTTCCTCCCAGTCCAACCCTGGAAGAACACCTGCCCTGAATCTTAAATAAAAGCACAAGCAGGGAGGAATTTTTTCTCTTTAAGGTATTTCTAGGTATCACTTCAAAAAGCTGGAGCAAGAGGACCCTTCTCTCACAGACCAAAACACCAAAACGAATACTGGAGAAATAAAAGGTACTCTATGACTCATATTTTTGCTGCTGTAATGTGCCGTGGAATCAGAAGTAACTCACAGCTGACCCTCCAGGGGGTTTTCAGAGGTTGTAAATTGCGTGGAAGGAGACGGTTCATATTTCTCCCCCCAAGCACCTGGCAGATTTGAGCAACCTGCCTTTAGGCTGGTATCGCAACTCCTTACCATGCGGCCACCAGAGCTCCCTTACTCAAGTTGCTGTGTACCGTCGAGCAGGAACCAAGTCGTAGCTGATCTTCCAGAAGGTTTTTAGAGGCAGCAAATCACCTGAAGGAGACTGCCCATCTCTCTCCCACAGAGCAACTGGTGGATTAAATCAGCATGCTTTCATGTTGCCAGCACAGCCCCTCACCACCAGGCCACCAGAGCGCCCTCCCTCTTACATTCTCCTGAAACCCGGAAAGTTATCCTCTCACCCCAAATACCAAACTGGAAAGCAATCACAGGTAACAGAGAATAGCTTCTTTTTGGGAAAGGGTTCACAAACTCTTTTAGAATATGACGAAATAAGTAAGACTTCTCTCCATAACAATTTGCATCCAAATAGTTATTTGTTTTACCATTTCAGACCTGAAATTTCAGTTTAAGATCCAAGCACATGGGTACAGCAAATAGTGCACATGGCTACCCACCAAAAGCCCAGTGATGTGCTTCTGTATTCATTACAGCCCAGCAAACCTGATAGAGCATAGGCCGACTCTGTAACCAAGGGTTCACCCAGAGTCAAATCCAATTGATAGAAAAAGTTTGCTTGGTTAGCTTTTATGGTGAGTACATGGCATCATCCAGGCATGTGGAAATTCAAATGCTCAACTAAGAGGGTTTCTCAGAGTAAGGAGAGGAGATGCCAGTTAACCACATACCACTGTCAGAGAGCTGGGCCCTGCAGGAGATAGAAGAGCATTCACTCCAGTTCTTGTCCTTATCACAGATTATCATAATCATCCCTTTTTTGCTGTGAGGACTAAAAATGATCAAAATTAATTTGGTCATTAAGAAGGTATGGGCACAGGACTTTCTCATTTACTCTGCCTGTCTGCGGTCAGGGACCTTTCCAGAGTACTGAGAAGCAACGATGTCAGTCTAGAGACTAAAGTGCACCTGATCCAGGCCATGGCCTTCAAAATTACTTGGTATGCATCCAAGAGGTAGATTATGACTAAGGATGACAGAAGAAGAATTGATGCCTTTGAGTTGAGATGCTGGAGAAGAATCTTAAACATACCATGGACTGCCAAGAAAACAAACAGGTCCATCTTGGAGAGGGTGAAACCGAGTTTCTCCTTGGAGGCTAGGGTTTTCAAGCTCTGTCTCACATTACTTTGGGCATGAGGCTAGGAGGGACCGATCCTCAGAGGACATCATGCTTGGAAAGGTGGAGGGACAGTGCAGGAAAGGAAGACCCTGAATGAGATGGATTGATACAGTAACTGAGCAATGGGGGTAGGTGTGTCAGAATCAGTGAGAATGGCTCAGGACAGGGCAAGCTTTGAAGAGCTGTTGTGCAAGGCTCACTATGAGTTGCAGGAGGCTCAAGGGCACATAACAACAACCATGTGAGGTACTTTGAAGATTAAGAGAGTCAATGTGGATGAACTGGATTCCACATAAACTTACTTCTCCACAAATCAAAATCTTTTGATTGATGTGGTTGACTAGATAGACAGCCCACTTAGGGCTGTTTTTCCAGAAGCTTTGTGAAGTTAAAAGACAGCTACCTTCCCTCAGAGAGGATGCCAAGTTGATGTGTGGTCAAGTGTCAGAACAGTTTTACTCTTTATCACAACATTTTGAACAAAGGAGTAAGACTAAATCTTTAATTACCAAGTGACCCATTCCCAGACTCCAATGCCTTGCAGATGAGTAGATACTTACTGTGAAAAAATGTCTCCATGGGAGCTCTGATGGCCATCTTTCAATCCCTCTTCCCCATAAGCATCATACTGTTTCCGTTTCTCACTATCTGACAGAACCTGAGGATAAATCAATGCAGGAAAAAGATCTTGAATTGAAATCTCCTTAAGGTGCATTTGTATGTGGTTTGCTTAAAAAACTGACAATGTGTCTAAGATTTGTGAAATGTAGTATTCATTATGTATAGTATTAAAATGTGTTACAAAGTAATTTTCTGTAAAAGCCTAAATTTTTGGTATATTGCCCATTTTATAACTTCCACAGTATTTATGTTTTAAGTTTGAATTTATCAAAACTCAAAACATTCACTGCCAATTGTGTTGGTTTTGACTCAGCTTCCAAGACAGAAAATCCACTTTTCTCCCTTAGAGCCACTCATGGATTCAAACCAACACAGGAGTGTGGCCTTTGGGTTAGCAACGCAACGTGCTATGGACTATACCCCTAAAGTTCTCTTTCTCAGGATTGGATACTTAAATTGATCTGAGACTAGCAACATGTCTGTGAAGTTGAGTAAAAAGTGGTAGGATGGATCCCTCACTCACTTCTCAGCCCATCTGACTCCAGTGCTTAAGCTTTTAACCACCACATACTATTGTCTCCCTAAACTACAACTGGAATTTAACGATGAGAGATCTTCATAAGTGATAAAAGTACTACAGTAGGAAAATAGTTCTGAGTTGCACTCCACTCAACGACACTTCACCACCACCACGCTATAAGCCCAAGATTTGTTTGTGCCTTCATATAGACACATGCTCATATGCACATACATCTACACATACAAAGAGTAATGAGATCGTGCAGACATTGTTATGTGCTATCAAGTTGACTCCAACTCACAGCAACCCTATAAAGGGTGGACTTGAACCCTGCCCTATTCTGTGCCATCCTCACTATGTCACATACTTGAACCCATTGCTACAGTCAGTGTTAACCCATCTCATTGTGGTCCTCCTCTCTTACACTGACCCTCCACCTTTCCAAGCATGATGTCCTTCTCCAAGGACTGGCCACACCAAACAGCATGTCTAACGTGTATGAGACAAAGTGTCCTTGCTTCCAAGGGTCCTCCAAACGTGCATAATGCTTTATCTTCACACACTTCTGGCCACCTCCGACTATGTTTTGGTGTATGTAAAAATCCATTTACAGAGGACTGGAACATTATGGAACATTATGCCGTGTGTGTGTGTGTGAAATTTATTTTTTTGTTGAAATCCAGAGATCGTAAAAAGGGACAACACTCCATAAAGATAGTTTAAGGTCCATCTCAAAGTTTGAAAATAATTTTTAAGTTTGTTTCATAAAACTATACACAACCACAGCCTCATATTTTCTTACTGCACCCACTCCATGTACAATGCTAAAACCAAATTGAAACCACTGTTGTTCAATCAAGTCCAGCTCACAGTGATCCTGACAGGACGGAGGAGAATTGCCTCGTATGGATCCTGAGGCTACAATCTTTGGCTTTCTCTTTCTCCCAAAGAGCACCTAGAAGGTTCAAACTAATGACATTTGGGTTGGCAGCGTAATGCTTAAAACACTGAACCATCGAGACTGCTGTCCATACGATTAAAGAATGTGAAAACACAAGAATCCTCCACACTCTTCAAAATATGTCGTCATCATCATACAAAGCAGATTATTTCCCTTCTATTCACAGTAATCTATCATATGTACACCCTAGTATCTTTGAAAGTCAAATGGTTTTATAACCTTTTTGTAGTATTCGTAAATACTTGACAAAGACTGAAAGAAAAGGTATTTCAAGCTGAAACTCACAGTGGCCCAAGAAAAGACTTTAGAAGCAGGTAGTACCTGTTGACTCAGCAGAAGAAAAGACCTGTTTGGAATATCCAAACACAACACACTTGTGGTTTGAGGCCTGAGCTTAAGATATATTTAAAGTAAAGAGCAGAAATTGAATGTACAGGAGAGTGAGCATTCTTAAAGGCAAACAACTATTTCTGGGTTACCTCAGAAATGACAAAAGTTTTTTACTAAAGTCAGCTCAAAAAGAGAAGGTAAGAGAAGAGACTTTGACAAGCAAACATCCTCACAAACAGACGCTTTGTGGCAACAGTCAATCCAACTCTTGCTGACCCCATAATATATAGTAGTCATTCCCACAGGGCTTTGACCTTGCTTTACTAACCCAAAGGTCAAGCCTCTCTGACAGACGGAATCCACCAGTGGCTCCAAGGGACTAAGATGACACTCTCCTCCCTGCAATTTACAGCCTTGGGGATGTGCTGGAGGGTCAGCTAAGTATGGAATCTGTCTTGACAGCAAAGAGTTGGAGTTTTTAAAATTTTTAACCTTTGCACAAGCAAGTCATCACATCTTTCTCCTGTAGAGCAGCTGATAGGTTTGAAATACTGACCTTTCAGTTAAGCACCTGAGTGCTTAACCCACTGTACACCAGGCATTCTTAGAAAAGGCTATGTCGTTCTGTACTGTTAGGTACTAATTATGAAGAGTTGGAACCAACCCTATTGGGGGGGGGATGTCACAGTGCAGCTCCTTTATTACTAGGCTTTCTGAACTCAGAACGAGTTTACATTTGTGTCTACAAAAATATCATATACCCAAATAAAGATAATCTTAGGCCAGTTTCTTTTTAGACATGCTTCTTGTTTTGCTGATAGATGCTGTGTGGGTATAATAGGTGACTATGACTCACTGCGATTCTATGAACAATGGATCTGATCTCTGCTCTATCTGTGCCGTCTTCATCATCACTTATACACTTGAGTCCATTGCTATAGTCACTGCGTCAATCATGTTGTTGTTGTTAGGTGCTGTCAAGCTGAGTATGACTCATAGTGACCCTGTGAACAGCTGACCTGAACCTTGCCCTACCCTGTGCCATCCTCATCATCTGACACACTAGAGACCACTGCTGAAGTCACCATGCCAACCCATCTCACTGAGGGTCTTTCCCTCCTTGGCTAACCCTCCACCTTTCCAAGTATGATGTCCCTTTCTAAGCAACAGCCTCACCTAGCTACAAGTCCAAAGAATGAAAGACAAAGCTTCACCATATCTGCCTCCACGGAGTGCTCTGGCTGAACCTTACCTGAGACATATTTGTTTGATCTTTTGGCAAACAAATGGGTTATTCAGTACTCCTTTTCAGCATAACTCAAAGGCATCAAGAAGGCTTCTATAGTACAACCTGCCCTTAAAGTCATCTATTTTCAGACTTCCTCCTCATTTTTCTTCTGGCTAAAGAGTGCAATTTTATTCCATGGTCTTGGAAGCTATTTTATCAAGAAAAGAAAAGAAAAAAAAAAGGAAAAGGGATGGTGTTTGGCCATATACCTCAAGAGTCCCAACTAATTAAGACACCAGCACTAATCCTTGCCCAGTAGAGAAGACAAATTTGTACTCACAAAATAACTCTTGATACTGAGCTAGGATTATGTTTTGGGAACACAAATATATTTTTCAGGACACTAAGAAGAAAACTTGAATTTGTGGCTAGAAAGTTTTTCAAAGTTCCACAAATCGCAGTCTGATAAATAAACCACATATATAAATGCCTGTCTAGGATATGGATAAAGAATCTAAGAGATTCTTTCAAGAGCACAGTAAATCCATAGCAACAGCTTCCTGATAAAATATTCTGAGTTCCTCGCAAATAGGACCAATTATGAGAAACTGCATGCAAAATATGGAATCTGGAATATTATCAACCAAAAACAAAACATTACCTATAACTTTGTAGGCAACGGTTACCTTAAGTTTATGGGCCCCATATTCAAGATTTCCTGTCCTATGCATGAAGGAAGAAGCGAGAAGCCCCTCAGGTGTAGGCCACCTGACATCAATCACTGTCTGGCTTCCACAGCTCATTCTGGAGGGCTCTCCATATCCCTTCCTTTCAGGTTCTGTCAAAGTACTAAAGCTTTTTTCAGATTTGTTAACCTGAATTCAGGAGTTTTTGCTCTGTGCTTTGTCTAGTTAAAATATTTTTCTGTGCCCTTTTAAAAACAGAAATACAATTAAGCTCAGCTCTAATATATTTCATGTACACAAGCAGGGAGTAGGAAATGGTGCTGCCAATCCAAAGACATGAGTGTTGAATTCACCAGCTGCTCTGAGGGAGAAAGATGGGTGGTCTCCTCCCCAGTTATTTACAGCCTCTGAAAAGCCATTGGAATATAAGCTCTGAGTCAATTCCGACCAAATGGCGATAAGCTTTGGGTTTTGAGTAACATTTCTCATCGTGTTTAGTAAAGATTAAATGAGACAACACAGGAAAACGTTTTGGCTTCTGTAGTATAGAGAAGTTACCAATTCAAGCTATTACTATTTTGTTGGGCCATAATTTTTTGAGTTACCAAGTTTTTACAATCAGAAGATATTTCTAATTCCTCTTCACAACAACAAAAATCCAATATTTGCATTTCCATAGGGGCAGTAACAACTGTTGCCATGAAATGAGTTAAGAAGGTTATCGCTTGTCTCAGTTCAGTTTATACTGCTCACAACTATGGAGGCAGAATAACTGGTATCATGTTTTATTTTTGCCCTGCATGTTATGTGTCTAGTCCCTATGTGCATGTGGGTTTGCCAATTCTTAAGCTAGACTTATATTTCTAGCTCAAGTTCTCAAACTGGATGATTAGAAAGGATCAACTTTCTCAATAACTTAGGAATCTTACTTTCATTTCTTTCTTTTCAATGTTACAAATAAACATCTGACTTAGCTACAACTCCTACTATCCCTCATGTTACATAAATTTGCCCTCAGAGTAAAACAGTTTAATCAATCCCTTTATCACAATCATCTTTATTAGCTGCACATGCAGCTTTTAAATAACTGAAAAGCATCCATTCTTCCCTTGCACTAAAGTAAGGTTAAAAAAAACCTGTATGCACCTGTTCCAATTTACATAAAACAATTTAAAGATACAGGAAGGAATTCTCTTTATAACTCTGAAACTGCCTTAATTTTCTTAAACAAAAGAAATATCAATCATTGCTGATGCTAGATGGATCTCGGTTAAAAGCAGAGACTGCCAAAGGTAGGTGATTTTAATCTGCGGCCCTCAAGCCTAGTTTCAATTGTTTTTGGTCAAACATTCTTCTAAGTGGTATAGCCCTGGTGTGTCAATTTGCTGTACAGAGGTAAGTTGTGGTTGCTGTGATGCTAAACACTGTGACACTGATGTGTCAAATGTGATAAGGGTTACCCATGGTTGACAGTGTTTGGTGGAGCGCCCTGATTAAAACAAGCTTGGAAGCAGGCGTGGCATCTGCTTCCAAAATGACCTGCCTCCGTAAACCCTCTGAAGTTGGAGAAATGATGAAAGTTATACAAGTGTTCAGGTCTTTCATTCATAGGATTGCTATGAGTCGTCTATGACTTGACGACACTTAGCAACAACAACCAGAAAGATGTTTAGCTGCATATTAGTGACTTCAACTAGTGACATTCAACTGTTTGGATCATAATACATTATAGATAATATTGCAAAGACAGGGATTCTGCGACACTTAACTGTGCTGATGTAGAACTTGTACTGTTGTTGTTATGTGCCGAGTCGCTTGCTACTCATAGTGACCCTATGTACAATAGCCCTAAACCCTGCTCTATCCATTGCCAATCTCACTGTCTCTGACACGCCTATCCCCATTACCTCAGTGAAGGAATCAATCATCGAAGGTCTTCCTCTCCTGTGCCATTCCTCCACCCTCCCAAGCATGACGTCCCTCTCCAAGGATTGGTCCCTCCTTGCAACATGTCCAAATCTATGTCAGACAAAGCTTCAGAACCTTATCTCCAAGAAGCAGCCTGTCTTCACCCTCTCCAGGACGAACTTGTTCTTCTAGCCGTCCATGGTATATTCAATACTCTTCTCCAGCACCAAAGCTCAAAGGCGTCAACTCTCCTTTTATCATTCCTAGTCACTGTCCAGCTCTCTGAAGTATAGCAAGTAATGGTAAAGACCATGGCCGTGTCCGGACTGACATCATTGCTCTTCAGCACCTTGGAGAGGTCTCTGACAACAGACTTTCCCAACACAATACATCTTTTAATTTCCTGGCTGCTCGTACCAATAGTGTTGATTGTGGAGCCAAGCAAACTAAAGCTGTCAACAATCTATCATGATGCTGCCAATTGGCCCAGTGGTGAGAATCTTTATTTTCTTGACATTCAGCTTCAATCCTTGACCTTTTTCTACTGGGAACTTGTATACAGACCAAGAAACAGTTCTTCAAAAGAGTGAAGGGATACTGCACAGTCAGGGCTGTACCTTTCACCACACCTACTGTATCTGTGAAAAATGGGGTTTGGTGTGTGGGAGATGGTAAGGTTGGCTCAGGATAGGGCAAGGTTCAGGGTCATTGTTTACAGGACTGCTAGGAGTTGTTGTCGACTAGGCAGCACATAACAACATTCTATCTGTATGCTGAGTAAATAAACTGAGAAGATGAACTACAAGGAGAATTTGGCATGAGGATTTGAGGAAGATTCATTAACAACCTGTGCTATGTAGAAGATATGAAGGAGGCAATGGGGGGTCTTTCAATGGCAGCTTTCCTAAACTCATGAGCCTCCACATTGTCTAGGTGTATATGGAAGATCAATCTTTTGCAAGGAGCAAGAGCTTGGAGAGGTACTGGAGAGGTACTGGGAGTCAGAAAACAAAGACACTTGATGCACTTACTGATGAAGTTAAAAAACCGTAATCTTAAAAAAAACAAACAAACAAAAAAAAACCCCGTAATCTTAATACAGATTACATATCAATATAAGGAAACAGAAATCCTCACAACTGGACTAGTAAATATCATGATAAATGGAGGAATAATTAAAGTTGCAAGGATTTCATCTTACATGGATCCGATCCACAATGAAAATCCATGAAAGTAGCTGTCAAGAAATCAAGTGATATATTGCACAGGGAAAATTTGCTTCAAGAAGCTGCACTGTAATGATGAAGACATGCGTTCGAATCCACCAGCCACTCCATGGGAGAAGAATAGGCAATTTCCTCCCATACAATAATTGCCTCCGAAAACTCGCTGGAGGGTCAGCTTTGGGAGATGGACAGGCAATCTCTTCCTAGGCAATTAACTGCCTCTGAAAACCTACTGGAGGGTCAGATATGGGTCGGTTCTGACTCAATTGTACTCTACAACAACCACCAGGACTTCTTTAAAGTGCTAAAGAGCAAGTGCTAAAGTCCATGTGGAGGACTAAATTACACCTGAATCAAGTTATGGTATTTCCATTGACCTTATATGTATGTGAAAGTTGGCTAATGAATAAAGAGGAAAGAATTGATGCCTTTGAAAATGGTGTTGGCAAAGAATTTTACATATAAACTGGACTTCCAAAAGGGCAAATCTGTTTTGGAAGAAATGTAGAATGGTCTTTAGCACAAGGACGGTAATATTTTGGGCATATTATCAGGAGTGGTCAGTCCTGGAGAGGGGCATTATGCTTGGGGAAATGGAAGGTGAGCAAAAAGAGGAGAGCTTCAATGAGGTGGACTGACACAAAAGCTTTAAGAAGGAGCTTAAGCACCACGGAGAGGATGACAATGGTGCACGCTGGCTGGTGCGTCATTCTGTTGTATGCAGGGTCATTACAATGGGAAGTGAGTCGACGGCCCCTAGCAATAATACAAAAAAAGAAAATGTCACCTATTAAGATGAATGTGAGTACAATATACTCTCAAGTATTAAAATCAAACCAGAATGTTCTTTGCCATTTAGATCATACAAGACTGAGCAGAACTGCTTCACAGTGTTAACAAGGCTGTAATTTTCTTGGAACCAAGAGTTATTGTCTCCATACCTTTTCAACCTGTATGTAGAACAGATTATCTGGGAGGCTGGGCTCTATGAAGAGATGTGTGGCATCAGGATTGGTAGAAGATCTATCAACAATGTGCGTTATGCAGATGACACAACCCTGCTTGCTGAAACTGAGGAAGACCTGAAGCGCTTGCTGCAGAGGGTCAGGGACTGCAGCCTTCAGTATGGATTGAGGCTCAGTATCAAGAAGACAAAGATTCTCACCACTGGACCAACTGGCAGCATCAGGATGGTTGGTGATGAGATTGAAATTGTTCACAGTTTTGGTTTGCTTGGCTCCACAGTCAACACTCTTGGCACTAGTAGCCAGGAAATTAAAAGATGTATTGCGATGGGAAAGTCTGCTGTTAAGGACCTCTCCAAAGTACTGAAGAGCAATGATGTCTCTCTGGAGACTAAGGTGTGTCTGATACAGGCCATGGTTATGCATCAGAGAGTTGGACAATGACTAGGAAGGATAGAAGGAGAATTGATGTCTTTGAGCAGTGGTGCTGGAGAAGAGAATTGAGGGTACCATGGACTGCTAAGAAAACAAACAGATTAATCCTGGAGAGGGTTAAACAGGCCTGCTCCTTGGAGGCAAGGATTCTGAGGCTTCGTCTAACATACTTTGGGCATGTTGTGAGGAGGGACCAGTCCTTGGAGAGGGACATTATGCTTGGGAGGGTGGAGGGACAGCGCAGGAGGGGAAGGCCCTCTATAAGGTGGATCGATTCAGTGACTGGGGCAATTGGGATGGGACTATCAGAGACAGTGCGATTGGCACAGGACAGAGCGGAGTTTAGGGCTGTTGTACATAGCGTCGCTATGAGTCTCAAGCAACTCGACGGCACATAACAACAACAACATCTATTTTAAAGTAGAAGTCAGTTGAAAGAAGAATATTTCTCTAAGTTATGTGGCTTGTTCTATAGATGAACATTTGATTCATAGGTGATCCTTTTCTGACTTACCTCATAAGCAGCACCCAGATCCTGGAATTTCTCCTGAGCTCGTGGATCATCAGGGTTCCGGTCTGGATGAAGCTGCAGAGCTAGTTTTCTATAGGCTTTTTTAATATCCTTTATAGAGGCACTGCGAGGCACCCCCAAGATCTTATAGAAATCTCGCCTGGAGGGGACAGAGAAAAGCCATCATTAAAGAGGTGTACATTACATTTTATTATAAAATTAAGGAAGACAGGGGAGCTCTGGTGGCCTAGTGGCAAGGAGCTGCAACTACAATTCCAGAGGCGCACGGTTCGAATCCACCAGATGCTTTGCCGGGGAAGGAGGGACAATCTCCTCCTGTACCAGTCAGATCTGATTTGATGGTACACTCACACAAAAATAATAATAAAAAAAATAAAATGAAGGAAGACAAATGATGTGACAAGAAAATTACTAGAAAGAGACCATATATGTAACAAAGTGAATTACACATTAACCACAATGACAAGTTACGTACTTTTTGAGCAATGTTAGAATTATTGAAAACATCTGTGGCAGTTCTCTTTTAAAACTACCCTCAGTTTTTTTAAAAAGAAAATCAATCTCTTATTTTATGGCCATAAGTGCTCACTCCCAAAAATGTATTGTGGTTGAACTGGAACTGACTCAGAGCTGACCATACAGGGAGTTATCAGAGGCTGCAAACCACACAGGAAGAAAGACACCACCTTTCTCCCTCAAAGCCACTGGTGGATTCGAACTTCCAGTGTGGTGACACCTTTCAATTAGCAGTGCAACTTCCTACCAATGATGCCACCAGGTTATCTTTGGCCAATAACTATATGATCAAATTAATTCTTCATTTTATTTCTCTGTACTGAGTCCAAGTGACTTCTATTTCCAAAAATCAAATAACTTCAAAGGGTAATTTTTCTTATTCCATAAGAGAATGTTAAATTAAAGATCTGATTAACAGAACTGTTAGCAGGCTAACGATGAGGTGATTAAAACAGGAGGTTAACATCCCAAAAACAACTCTTAAGAGACAATAACGTTTTTATTTTATATATGAGTTGTGATGTGTTAGCTAAAAGAGAAAGAAAATTGCAATCTTCTGGGAATTTCTACTACTGTTATCATATTATTTTTGTCTAGAACAAGGTTTATTTATAGACAGTTGCTGAAGCCCACCTGCAGGAGCCTATGTATCTTAGCAGCCACGGATGTGCATAAGCTGGAAAATGAAGTAGAGAACTATTCACCCCATGGCCTATGCTGGAGCCCAATCTTAACAGACACTTTTTTGAAGAAAGGCAGACAAGAAAAACGATAAAAACTTTTAGTGTGGAGATGGTATTTGGCCCATGGGGGGAAAAAAAAAAGAATAAAAATAATCCATTTTATTCCTTTTGCCACTATGAATGATTCTGAAAATATCTTCCTTCAACGAGGAGGAGTGGGTAGGAAAGATGTTTGTAACAGTGACAGTGATATAGCAAGGATAGTATGCTTTGTAAATTAAAAATGCATTGGGGTATCAAGATCTAGGCCATATAGGACGGGATATTAAAAAACAACAAAATACAAAACAAAAACCATTTCATAAGAAACCTTCTTCTCCCCAACTCCCAGGTGTAAAATCTTGACTTTGCTTGTATTAAGAATGAAATTACTCAAAAGTATCATTTAATTAATGACAAAACATCTCAAGGGATAAAGAACAAGAAATACTTAGAATACAGCAAGCCAGCACCATTGAGTCATAATCAACTCATAGCTGAACCTTCAGTAGGTTTTCAGAAGCTACAAATTGGAGCAGCTGGTAGATTTGCACCACCTGCCTTTGGATTGGCAGTGCAACTCCTTAGTCACTCGGCCACCAGCACATAAAATATATTTGATAAAAATGGTTAAGTAACAGATCAGAAAAAAAGAATTTAAGAGATAGCTAGCACCCACTTTACTATTCCCAAAAGACTCTTTTCTGACTAACTGAAGTTTAACGTTACAAACGTCTCAACATTTATATCACTAATTTGAGGCATTTGTTGCTTTAAGTCTAAAAAGAATTGCCAAAAATTTCCATAAAAACAATACAGCATTACCTAGATTAAGTAAATATTAGACACTTAAGATGTTTCCCAAGGGGGAAAAAAAAGTTTAAGTATAAATAATAGGGGGGGGAGGAAATCTTAATAACAAGCACATACATTTTCAAACTCTACTAGTATTATTGCCCTGACTTAGAACAACATATCAACAAATCAAAAGAGGCTAAGACTCTGTTCTCCTCTGCCATCTGAAATATTAGCCTGGCATATTCTATCAACTTTGCAGAATCACGGGCAGGAAGAATCCTCAAGAGTTCTCGTCCCACTCCCTTCACATAGGAGACATGTTATTTTCATGTTATAAATGAGAATTCACAAAGTTCGTTCAAGGTCACGTAAGCTTGCAAGCGGAGCGAGGGTGTAGGCTAGAATCACGGTAAATTGCTTGTGGGTGAACTTTCTGTTCCTGCTCATAATGTCATTCAGCTTCTCAAGAAAAGTACCACTGAGGGAGGCAGTAACACACACTGATAGCTTAGGTGCAATATCCTAGAAACCAGGAAGAATAAGGGCTTCCCAGTGGGCCTGGCTTCCCTAGCTGCTCCCCTCACTTCACTGTGGTTGGATCCTAACTTCTTCACTGTGGTTGGATCATAATCCACCCACTTTCATCTCAGACCTCCAATGGCTCGCGGGCTGGCTCCCACAGCATCGTACTCTTCTTTGCACGGCAAGGCATACCTCATCTCTCAGACCAAAGACCTGCCCAGCCCCTGAACCTCAAGCCTGTCTCTATTCTTCAATATACTCAGAAGCCCCTTCTCTCTCCCACCTTTGCACGACATGGCTTCAGCTCACAGTCATCTTTCCTTCATTCCCTTCTTTCCTCCTCGCAGGGTATCTGGCACTGGCACCCACTCAGCTGGGCAAATTTGTCTTTGGAGCTAAGTCTGGATCTAAGTCCCTCTCAAGCCTCGTGCCACTCACAGCTCCCCTCTCCACGACACTAGTCTGGCCTGCATTCTCCCACAGCCTCCCCCTAGCACTACCCTTCCTTCCACTCCTTCAGCTTCATCCCCCACCGACCCCCTACTCAGTCTCCTTCCTTGCAAAAGCTGACACACAGGCCCTGAGCCCGCAGGTGCCTGTCCCTCACCCGGCGATCACGGTTCCGATGAGGTACAGCAGCAACAGGCAGAAGGTGCCCAGGTTCTGCGGGGCCATGGTTTCTCGGTCCGGGACCCTAGCCCACGCACTCCTCACGGCCGCCTCCGCTCGCCGGGCCACCTGACCCTGTGAGGGCGCTTCACGCCGGGAACCCCCTACTCTGGTCCACAGCGATCACTAGCTTGCCCCTTCCTGTGCCAGCCCACTTCCCGGGAGTCCAGTCCCGGAGAGAGAAGCCCCCAGCAGACGCAGGCCAATGGCTGCGCGGGACATCACACGCGGCCGGCATCTCGCAGCCAATCAGCGCAGTACACTTCACCTCCGAGGCGGCGCCGGCAGCCAGTGAGCTCTCAGAACTGCAAGCCGGGACTCGCGGCCAATTAGAAAAGGGATCGTCAGAGAGTTGCGCCGCTGCAGGAATCTTCTCAACTCCAGCTCCCGAAAAGTCGGAGAAAATTGCGTATCCCCGGCTGTGGGGCCAGAGGAGGATGGCCGAGGTACAAGGTTTCCACTCGCCTGCCTGCTCAGACGCTTCACCAATCAGAAGGCGAGCTCTCTAGCGCCAACCAGTTGCCAGAAGGACACGTTGAGTTGGTTCAAGTATCGGAATTTCATTCATAGTGAATCCCTTTCTGAAGCTAGGATGGAGGGACGTCGGAGAGATGGGCAGAGACAGAAAAAGGGACTCATTGCTTCTACCTTACTGTACGAGAAGTTGCTAGAGTTGAAGCTGACAGAACAGCACCTAACAGCAACTTCAAATTTCAGAACAAAATTCAGTGTCTTGCTCTTGACTATTCTGAATCTCTACAGTTCTACACCTCTACCTCTGTCCCTCTGGACCAGGTCACCATTTCACCTGGGAAGACCTCCTAAGTGGTCTCTCTGCTTCCACTCTTAATATTCTGCTAGCTATTGTTCACTCAGCCCTCTCTCCCTTGATTTAAAACGTCGAATCATCATATCCTTCCTGCTTAAGAGTCCTAATGATTGTCCATTGCCCTTAGAATCACCAACCCAAAGGCAGGCAATAAAATCCACCAGCTGCTGGAGAAGGACAGACAATCTCCTCCCATGCAATTAACTGCTTGGGGTTGTCGGGGGGGACCCGCTGTAGGGGCAGCTATGGGTAGATTCCGACTCGATGGTACCTAATAACAACAACCCTAGTTTAGGGAGCTCTGGTATTCTGGTCCCTAGGGAGTTTGGCTGCTAACCCACAGGTAGAGTCGATTAGGGATCCAGGAAAGAAAGATGGGCCATCTCCTCACGTGCGATTTTACAGTCTCCCAGAAGCTCATTGGATATAAGTGAGTTCAGTTCCCACTGCGTGGCAATGAATATGGATTTGACATAATCTGTTCTCTCCTAGTATTTTACCACGTCCCATCTTCCTCTTTTTTTTGTTGTTTTATTTAAATTTATTATTAATATCAGTAAAAAATTTACAAAGACTTTGGATTTCCATTCATTCATTGTTGCACTTTTCTCCCCTCCCAACCCTCCCCCCAGTACACTACCCTCTTGGAAAAGTAAAATTCGTTCATTGTTTTACAAACCCTCCCCCAGGTCCACTCCACCATGTAGCCTTCACTCT